TATTTAATTTTGTTCAATAGAGGAAGGTTCAAAAATTTTGATGGTCAAAAATTTTATCTAATATTTTTCATTCTCAATAAACTTAGTATTTATTTATGCTTCGTATTCCCTTGAATATATACTTCGTATTTCCTTCAAATATTTGAAGATCATTTTTAATAGCTCTTCTTGTTAATTATAAATTTTCGAACCTCCTCAAAAATTAATTCAATTTGCAATCAAAAATAAAATGATTAACAATTACATATATAAAATATTAACTTAAAATACCTCACTTGAATTTTAATTAAACAAATATTAAAATCATTATTTTTCCTCATACAATGGATAATGAATATTTAATTTCTTTTACAATGTTTAACATTAACAATCATAATTACAATATGTGAAACAAAAAAAAAAAAAACAATAAACACAAACCTTATTTTAAATTAAGTATAAAATTTAAAGAAATCCGGCAATCCTAATTAATTAATGTGTATGTTATGATTGCGTTCAGATTTCATGCAAAAACAAAAAACAACAAAAAAAAAAAAAACGGCAAAAAGGGAAATACAAGAACAAAAAAAGTCCTTAAGGCTGAACATGTTATTTTATAATTGCTTTCTCTGATACAATGCTTATTTCCAACATGTTTTAAACATTCACCATAATATATGATATGTATTTGACTACATTATATATATATATATATATATATTATGTATAACATGATTGTTTAAATATATGTATATGCAATTTAATATAAATCTGTTAGTCATTCTATTTTAACCGTACAATTTTAATAAGGAAAATATAAAAAGCAATGTTATGCAAGAAAAAAGGTATCAAGGTGTAAAGTAGAAAATAATAATCGATCTTAACGACCATTATCAACGTTTTAAGAACTAGCAAAGCTTAAAATTGTCTCCTGATTTGAATTAACTGGCTTGAAATTGTGGAAAGTCTGTCTTACATACAAAAGTTTTATAATGAAATATAATTTAACATAAAGCGAGCAATATCATTTTCTTTATTTTTGTAAATACCTTCATTCGGAAGAGAATTACAGAATTACAGAACTATATATCTTACAAAAAACAGAAAATCTGACTCAAAATATCGAAATTCCATAACTAAAAATCAAATTTTCAATTTAAAATTCTTATATCATTCTCATTCACTTTAATATTGCAACAGTGCCATCAACATTTAAATTTTAAATTTTCAGATCAATTATACAACATTGTTGCTAAATTGTAACCAACATTTACCTTAAAACGATAACAATTTATTTTAATACTTTATTAAACAAAAAAAAAAATAGCAAAAGAGTTTAATATAAAAAATATCCTTTTTGAAAAAAAAAATATAGCATGGATCAAATTTAACCTCCCTGTAATATAAAGCTTGAAAAAAGAAGAATTATACATAAAAGTGAAAAAATAAAACCGAAAAAAAAACACAAAAGAAAAAATGAAAAATAAAACGAAATTTAAATGAATAAAAGGTTGAAATTTTATTCTTATTATACATATGTATTCACACACACACACATACACACAAATCCTTACAGATCATGAAACTCTGAAAATTTCGATATTAGAAAAATAATATTTTTCATTATTTCAATTTCATTTTATAAAGTACAGGGTGATAAAATAATGAAATTTTTTTCAAAAATTGTAATTTTCGTCCTTAAAAAAATTTTATCTTAAAAAAGGAATTATTATATATGGAAAATGGTTGAATTCGTCTTTGTGAAGGTATTCGAAACTCTATATTGTATTAAGGTATTCGAAAAAATTTATTTTAAAATATCATAAAATTGAATATTCTTTTCAAAATATATTCGAAATTAAAAGTTTGAAAAAATTCGAATTTCGAAAAAAAAATCTGAAAATTCAATTTCACTTATTCGAAATCAAAATTTCGAAAAATTTTGAATGAACTAAATTTTTGCAATTTTCCGAAATTTTGCTCAACTTTTTGTGAAAGTAAAATCCCGGTATTTTTACTGTACATTATAACGATCTGCTTTATATACTTGTATATGAAAAAATAAATAAGAATAATAAAAACAGGAAAATTTCCTTTTCCTATATATTTCCTATATTTTTGCTATTGTTATGCTCACTGCCGCTGCTGCCGGTGTTATTTTATTTTTTTTCTGTATTTTTCATTTTCTACTGTTTTATTCTATTATTTTTCTGAACATTTATTTTTTATTATTATCACATTTTGGAGTGAATTTTAACAAAATAACAACAAACTATATATACCTAGAAGGTTTCAAATTTATTTTCAACAAAACAAAAAAAAAAAAAAAGAATGCAACACAAAAATGTTTCCCTGCTCCCTCTTTCTCTCTTCCTTACTCTTATCCTTTCTTTTCATTTCAGAGCGAGTCTTCTTTTATATTTTAATGTTCTGATGGTAATTTGAGGAAATTTTTCTTTTCTTTTTTTTTTGCTTAAAAAGAAAAAGATTTCATTTCTTGTTTTCCCAATTGTTATTGTTCTTGTTGTTACTGTTTCGTTGATATGATGATATGCTACAATTATTTCAATTTAATTTTCATTAGTTGAAATGCCTTTTTCTTACACAAGCATGTAAATTTCATATATAATATAATAATAAATTAAGACAAACCTAAAAGAAATAAAATAAAATGAAAATGAAATGAAAAAATTTTAATATAGAGAAAATCCTGTCTGAAATTTTTTTTGTTTTTATTGTTGTTCCTATTTTCTTTGTATAATATGTGAAGGTAACATAAATTTTTTTTTCTTCATACAACACGAAATTCTATATAGTTAAGAAATAATTTGTTAAAAATTTACTAATTTATTTCTCAAGTATATATTTAATTCTTTATTCTATTAAAAAACACAAAAAAAAAACAAAAACAAGAAAAACAAAATCAAAAGAAAATTAATTTTGTACTTTCTTTTTAGAATTTTAAATAAAATACATGAGTTTCGTGTTGCTTTGCTTATATTAATTTTGATAATATTAAGGTAGAACCTAAGTTTTATTTTTTTTTTTTCTGAAATTTAAGGAAATCCTTAAAGTTGAACAAAAACATAAAAGTTAATAATAGTTTTGTTAAATTTTTTTAATGTTTTTTTTTTTTTTGTGTTTTACAAATAATGTAATTGCATGTCTAGCCATTTAACTAAAATGTCGTTGATTAACTCTTATTTAAAAAAAGAAAGTTTTAAATTCCATATTTTTAGACTATTAAGAAAATTATAGGCATCCTGTCTATGTACTTATATTTAAATTATAATTTTGAAATTATTTTCATTGCACAAGATATTACATGAAATTTTTGTATTAAATTATAAAAATTTTATATTTTAAGAACAGTGTTTCTCAATGTCATAATACCAGATTAATTCTTAAAATTAATCTGAAATTGCTTCCTTTATAAAAATATTTATAAAATACTTTGTAAATCCTAAATATATGCACTGAAATATGAAATATTTTTTGTGAAATTACTAAATCTCGTAATTTGTCAAAAAATGTTGGCTGACTCAAAATTTTAAAGCAGAAACACATATATTATTATAAACCTTTAGTTGGAAGAAATGTATTTTACACCTTTACTTTTATTAAGATTTCATTTTGAATATTAATGTTTTGTGAAAATTCCAATTAGACGGAAAGCTTTTCTTATTCCCAATATAATAAAAAATTTCCCTTCTAAAAGCAAACGTTTGCCTGTTGGAAAGAAAATTTTTAATTTAACTAAAAGTTAATTTTCTAAATTTAATTCTAAATTTAATTTGCAATTTAATTAAAATTTTTTAAGAAATTTCTTAGCATTCTACAATTGGGCAATTTCTACTGTAGATTTCAAGGCAATAAATATTAATTAATTATTACTTATTTTTAATTCGAATTTTAATTCTCTTCATCCAACAATTTATTCATAAATTTTAACTTAAAAAGTTATTAAAATCTAAATTTATTGTATTCTATATTTATTTATTTATTTCTTAAATCTCAAGTGAGCAAAAGCTCGTACATAGTGTTATATTTTAATATTTCTTATAAGATACAATTTACAATTTTAACTTATCTTAATTAATCATAATTTTATTTTTACATATTCAATTTAAACAACTACGAATACAATAACAGAAAAACAAATATAAAAAATCAAACAAAACAGATAAGATAATTACATTGCTTGAAAATATTTAGAACATAAAATTATTGAATATTACCAAGGAGCAAGGAAAACGTTGATTTTGGTTCAATCTATAATTGAATATTTATTTTTTTTTTACAAAACGTAGGGCTTGCAATGTGAAGCCAATGTGAGTAATTTACTGAACTCACATATGGCTTTATTAAAAATATTACTTGAACGCATTTTAATTGTCCTTAAATTTGAAACGTGTCTAGTGTTATGACTATGTGATTCAGCTCCTTAAAAAATATTGTGTTCGAGCTTTGCATAAAATTATTGGCTTGCGTTATTTTGAGCTGAAGTTGAATTGAATTTATGTTATATTCTCTGTAAAATAAGTGGAGCTCGCCCTTTGTTCTAAATTATATTTAATTTTTTTAATTGCCTTGTTTTGCAAAATTTGAAATTTTCTTATGTTTTTTAGTGAGCTTACTCCCCAGATCATATATAATTGCACAGTCATATATTGAATATTCATTGTATATATTTAAATATGCTACAAGTATATTCAAAATTTGTCATTCTAAAATTAATTAAATAAATTACTTTTTTGTTATAAAAGTTATAAAATTTTTTATTTTTTCTTTCTCCCTTCATTTCCAGTCATTATTTTAACGCCATCCAAACATGAATTTTTTCTTTAACTTTCAATCAAACTGTTAATTAGTGAAAATTAGTTTTTTAAAATAAAAAATACAAAAAAAAAAAACAAAAATTAATTTAAAACTTAGTTATAAAAGAATTAAGTAAATTATTGAATTCTAATAACATAAAAATTCATTTTGTTCTCATTTCTTTCTTTTTTTTTCAATTTCAGATGAACCGTCCTATTCAGATTAAACCAGTGGATTGTGAAAATCGAGGAGGTAAAAAATATATATTTTTTTTTTGAAAAATTCTTTCTGTTTTTTTTTTCCCAATTCTCATATTTTTTACTTTAAAGAAAATTTTTATACTTTTTTTTTTTCCATTATTTATTTTTTTCTTAATTTGAATTCTATATATTTAAATTTTTATATTTTATATTAGATTTTATTTCAAAATTAATTTCCAATCGCTTCGGAAAAACGATGAAAATTTAAAATTTTAAATTGATTTTTTTTTGTTATAATCGAAAAAGAATTTTTTTTTAAATACTATACAATTAAATGCTAATTATGTAAATGGGAGTGTTCATTTAAAATAAATGTAAATTTTGTAGATGGACAAAAATAATTTTATAATTAAAATATTCCAATATGAAATTTTAATAATTTTAATGAAAAAAAATTTTGTAAATATTGATAAAATTATTTAAAATTTGTGATATTGTATTCGATAAATGTCCTCTTACCATTATGATATGGGGATTAATTAATCTAATCATATCAACAATAATAAATACTTTAAATTATAGAAAACATTATTCTACATTTTAGCGATTTTTGTCTTTTAAAATTTTGAAAAGCAAAGCTGAAACTTTTACATATTTCCTTATATAAAATTAGCCTTTAAGAGAAATCTTTACATATTTAGAAGACATTTTTGAATATTTTCCACAGTAAAATTTATAGCCGCTAAAAGCTTCATAGAAAATAATTTTTGCAACTAATACCTATAATATGCCCAAATAGCAGCTAATTTTTCTTACTGATTTAGTAGCCAAATTTTAGACAAAATTGTCAGCTAAAATTAACTCTAAATTATCTTGAGACTTGAATTAATTTTTTTAAATATTTTACATAAATATTTAACTACAACAATATAGATTAACAATGGATGATATACTTTAATTGTCATCGTCTCATAAAACATACAAAAACTTCCATGTCATTGGATCTTAAAATTTACAAAATACAAATTTTCAGTCATTCTTCGAATCAAAAAATTCATATGATATAATTAGAATTCATTTTACTTGCTTAACTGTCCAATTTAACCATTATATTATTAAATCATATAAAAAAATAATAAATATAATTTCTTTTCTCCATCCTAAAAGTATGCAAATAACGATATTAAAAAATTACATGGCATATGAAAATCAATTTGAAACGAACAAGTTACTTGAAATCGTTTAACTCAAAATTTCTATAAATAAGCATCAAAAAATATTTTAGTATACCAAAAAAAATCTTTAGCTATTAAAATATAATTTCTGAACTAGAAATATCAAACTTAATTAAAATAACTTTTTGACTTGCATTACTGAATTCAAATTCGGATATTCATTTCCCAACTTTCGAAATAAATTCTAGGAAATTCAAACTTAGACCAAATTTCATCATATTTACAAAATTTTCGATTATTTCGAAGCAAAAAAACACCTATAAAATTTACAAAAATTTTAATTTGAATTCTCCCATCTAACTTAGTTAAAAGAAAAACAAAAAAATATTCTCATTTTAATTTCATTTTGAAATCAGGTCCTTATTTTTTATTTTTGTGTTTTTTTTTTTTTTTAATTATTTTATTCTAATTATTTTCCATTTTTATTTTTCCAAATTTCACTTTGATTCTAATTTATTTCATTTTAATTTTCTTTATGGAAAATATTAAGCTAATTCAGCAAATATTTTATATATACATTATATATGTATATAAATATGCGTATACATATGCATGTAATATGTATAATGTTGAAAACTAATATGTATAATAATAATAATGTACGAGGTGTTCCATAAATTTATTAAAATATTCTTAATAGTGAAAACATTTTAAAATCGAAAAAAAAAAAACAAATATTTTACTGAAAATTTATTTGATTTCGGAAAATGTTCGAATTTCGCAAAGTGTTCGAGAAATTATTATTAAAAACTTTTATAAATTTTTTTTGTAATTTTATCAATTAAAGTGGTTTCTGGGTATATTTTATTAGACTTAGTTAAAATAAAAGCAAAAAATGTTATTCATAAAATTAAGACTTGAAAAAGTTCTGCAAAAACAGATCCAGCCGATTCAATATCTAAATTACAAAATTTTCAAAGTCTTTATTTAAAATTTTTGTTTTCAAAATGTTATATTAAAATGCTACATTTAAAAAATTTGCAACAACTCTATATTCACAAACTGCCCGATGACTGGTTAAAATCCAAGTTACTATTACTAGCACAAGCAACCAGTTTAAAAATCTCAGCTTGTGAAGTAAGTTTATAGTGAAAAATGTGTTTATTTTTATCAATGACCCAAACCAATGTATACAACGCAAGATACTTGAAAATTTTACATTAGATCCTTAAAAAAAAATATTAGATTTTCAAATTCTATAATGAAAAATTTTTAATATATTGCTAAAAAATTTTTTCGCTTCCTATAACACTTAAAATACTCTCGTAAATTATGTGTAAGTATATACCCTTGCACATTATGCTCAACAGTATATTGTATGAATTAATATACATATTTAAAATATACGCATACATAATTCATATTCATAATTAATTGGTTGATTTAACATCAAAGCCGTATAAAATTAATATGCCTTATTCCACCTAATATTATTCATTTATATATAATTACCTTACAAATGAATTATAATATTCGTATATATATATATATATATTCTGCTTATTATTCTGGAAGTACATGTGTAAATACAATATTTAAATATTATAATATATTTTATATAAGTAAGTAGAAGAATCTTTTGAAATTACGTTAACGGTTTCTTAAATCCTTAAATTTGAAATATAAATTTTGTAGGTACATAAAATATTATATAATATGATTTTAATTATATGTACATTCAAGTTACTCGTATAATAGTCGCAATTATACAATATGCTTTGCAAAAAGTATCATTTATTACAACGAAGTGAAATTATTTTTAAACAAATGAAAATATTTAATTGCCTTAAGAATTTCTTAATTTAATTTCTTTTTCGAACATAAACATTTTTTATATATAAAATTAATTACAAATTCCATATTTCATTTGGGTATTTTAAATTCTCTTTATAACAATTTAATATAAGAATAATAATATTAAAATTTTTCTTTTTTAAGTTTTATGCAAAAATTATATTTCCTTCAAGAGAACTGTGAAAAATTATTATAAATTGCAATATTAGCAAGTCTCTACAATGTTAACATTTCTCTGTAATGCTTCAGGTTTGAGTTCTAATCGATTAAAACTATTCTTTGTAAGTGCTAAAGTGTTGAGTTACAAAACACAGCCCAACTTTTTATGTAATTCTCAAAATACACATTGTGAATAATATGTCACATTATAATTGGCGATAATGAGAGCCTACTGAAGCAGTTATAATTTGAGACATAAAATTCCATATTTTTTTTAAAACGTGGAAATTATTAGAAATAGATTATAAAATAATAAATTATCCTTACAATAGTTGAGTATTATAAAATTTAAACTGAAATTCTTTGTATTTGCCTTAAATTTTACCAATTAATTTTATTTTCTCTAATCATTAAAATTCGAACATCCCTCATTCAATACAATAATGCTACCACTATAAACATAATATTTAGTTACAAAGTTATACAAGAATAACTTAATTATTGAAGTAGAAAATTATTATTAAAGGTATATAAAAATAAGAACAAAAATATATTATATATAATTCGTATTAAGGATAAGAAAGGAAAAACGTGAAAAAAAAACACAAACTTTTAATTAAAACTATAATAAATTCCATTTAATAATTAAAAATTTAACATGAAAGGATATTTTATTTAAATATTAAATAAAATAAATTATTAATATAATTTATTAATGTTATATAACAAAATGCCTCCAACAATAATTATTTCTACAAAGTCAAATTTTCAATTAATTAAATTTAATTCTTGTTGCGTTTCGCATACCAAAACCTATAATATAATTAAGCAATATAATTTGAAATTATAATATAATTAATTAATTGTTTATAAATGTTAATATTTATGTAATAATCTAAATTTATAATAATATTTGTTAACTATAAATAATTTAATAGATTATTTAATATAACTGTAAGCAATCCTTATAATAATAATAATAATAATAATATAGAAAAATAATTAGCCCTCAGTATTATTTTATGTTCAATATTTTTATTCGCCTGTAATAGCAATTATTATGAAAGTATATGTATAATAAACGCAATCCTCACTCCCCCACCCCACTTCCACTTATAGTAGAAAATTGATAAATTATTAAGACTAAAATTTATTGAATTATACTCTAGCCGAAAAAAAAATGAAAACAAATATTAATAATAATTAAATAATTAGTGCATAACAAATTATTAACAATAATTATAAGGATTATTTCCCCTAAACACGGGTATTTTAATTTTATGTTTGTTTAATGTTTATTATACTCAGTATATAGTAGGCAGTTAAATTCATAAATTATGCCGAAATAATTTTATATTTTAATTTTTCAAAAAAAAAAATGGCTTGCGCCTGTATTAAAATAACAATTTGAAGGTTTTTTATTATAATTTTTAACGAATACATATTAAAAGGAATTTTATATGGTCGCCGTAACATATGCAATATTTTTGGATGATTATGAAAAATATTTTTAGCATTTGCAAAAATAAATGAAACAATTTTTTTAACTATTTTTTTAAGAGAAATAATTATTATATGTTAAACGAGTCCTTCAGAATCAAAATGTCTTAAATGTTTCAATCGTTCGGACATTGTATATGAAATTTATACTATAATAACTTTCATTTTTTAAAATCTCATATATTGAATCTTTGCTTTTTTAGTTTTTTTTTAGAATTTGAAGGTATAACGAAATACATTTCATGATTACAGCACTTTGACTCTAAAGATTTAGAAAAAATTCATGTAATTTAATTTTATTAATATTTTAAGTAATAATAACAATTAATGCTAATGTTATTTGTAATATCAGTAAAAAATATAT